ATAAAAAAGCTCCTGGACCAGATGGTTTTCCAGCAGAATTCTATAAAAAAAATTATGGAATATCTTATCACCTGTATTTCACAGAGTGCTGCAGGAGTCAGAGGAACATGGCAGACTTCCAGTACATATGAATTCAGCCAACATTAGTCTTCTGTTAAAACCAGGCAAAGATCCCGTATTCCATACCAGTTATCGTCCTATTTCCCTTATTAATGTTGATCTTAATATAATCTGTAAGGCCCTCTCCAAAAGATTGGAGAAGATAACTCCTTTCATAATTCATCCTGCCCAAACAGGTTTTATAAAAGGAAGGCACTCATCTACAAATTCACGCAGATTATTTAATTTAATAGATTATTCTCACAGTAAAAAACATTGGAATGGCTATTCTGTCTTTAGATGCAGAAAAAGCGTTTGATAGAGTAAACTGGAAATTCTTATTTGCAACCTTGCGTAAATTTGGTTTTGGAAATTATTTTATTAACTGGTTAAAAATGTTATATAGCTTACCAACAGCATGTGTTAGGACAAATAACTTAATTTCTTCTAGATTTTTTCTTCAGAGAGGCACCAGGCAGGGGTGTCCACTGCCCCCCTCACTGTTTGCTATTTTCATTTGAACTTTAGCGGCTGCAATCAGGCAAACTGCAGATATTAAAGGCATACAATGTAAGAACATAGAACATAAAACTAGTCTTTATGCTGATGATGTCCTACTTTTTCTTCAACATTCAGAAAGCGCTCTATCTCAGGTTATTGATTTAATAAATTCCTTTTCAAGAATTTCTGACTACTCCATAAACTGGTTAATCAACAGTACATCTGAGGGTGGGGGTGTGTGTGTCGGGGTCTTTTTCACTCCCCCGTTCCCCGTTGGCCATCTGAGGATGGGGTCCTGGGGGGGCTGACCGTCTGGTGGGGCCTGGTCTGTAGGCGGACTTGGGGCTTGGAGGGCCTCCGGAGGCGGGGCTGGCGCTCCGGCTTCCCTGGGGCTGTTCGGGCTCCCGGAGTCTGGCTCCTGGTTCCTGTGGTTGGCCCGCTGGCTGGGGTGGCTGCCGGAGTCTGGGGGGTGGTCGGTTGGGGGTGGGCACCTGGCAGTTGGTAGGGTATGGGGGTGGTCCGGTGCGTGGCTTTGCTGGGGCGGCGGGCTGGTCGGTCTGACTGGTGTGGCCCGGGCTGGGACTTGACTGTCTGCTCTTTTCCACCCCAGATTGAAGGGGTCTACCTCCTGGGTTCAGGTGTGAGCTACCCTCTGCAGGGGGTGGGTGCATATCCTGGACCTGGGGGGGGTATAAAATATGTATGGGGAGTGTGAGTGGATTGTGGCGTCCATCTTTTGTGTCTTTGTATGAGTGGGTGAGAGGATGAGGGTGGGACTGTGTGATTGTGTTTGTGTATGCTTGTATTTTTGTCAGGCTGGGACTTGGGTGGCCCTTTCTCCGGGATCATTTGAGGGCCCATTACTTCCCTGCAGTGCTGTCCTCTGGTAGGTTGTGCCTTTGCCCGCCGGTACACTGGTGGCTCTCGTTGTCCGGGGCTGGATGCTTAGGCGTGTGCCGGCTCGGCCCGGTGGCTGCCTGGTGGGGCTTGGGTCCCTCTGGCCTTGTCGGGCCTTGGCCTGGGGGGGTGCGCCCTGGGGGCCCGGGGCTCTGTATCCTTGCCTGGATCCACTCTGGCGCAGTGGGTACCGGCGGGGCATGTGAGTTCGTC